TGTTGACAGTATGTGTATGTGTACGTGTATGTGTATGTGTTGACAGTATGTGTATGTGTACGTGTATGTGTATGTGTTGACAGTATGTGTATGTGTACGTGTATGTGTATGTGTTGACAGTATGTGTATGTGTACGTGTATGTGTATGTGTTGACAGTACGTGTATGTGTTCCCAGGCGGCCTCAAGTTTTACCAGTCGGCCAACAACGTGATACTGTGCCCCGGCGACCAGAATGGTGTCATTTCTCCTGTCTACTTTGACAAAATAAAAAACAGGCGCTCGGGGAAAACGGTGAGCAGTTTGTGGCTTTTTACCTGACGATCAAGTTAGGGGTGGGGTTGTGTGCATTTTGTCAGAATAATGATTATGATATATATGACATTTATGGCTGTCAAAGCCAATGAGAGATCGTAGGCTGTGAGCACTTGATGAAGAGAACAACAACATAGAACACTACGTTGTGAGCAGACTGAAAATCTAGATACAATAATAATAATAATAATAAAAAATATCATTTGTATAGCGCATACCACCGCTCAACAGCAGGCTCTATGCACTTTACACACTTTATTATTACCCCAGCAGACCATAGAACACTTAGAAACATTCTCAGCTTCCCGGGAAGCATACAGTGCAAGCTGCTGATTAGGCGCTCAAACACTAACAAACTGACAAGATCTTTTATTATCTATAGCCGGGTACTCATTCCCACCTGGGTGAAGTGAGGAAAATTTGTGTAAAGTGCCTTTCCCAAGGACACAACGTCGGGCCCCTGTCGGGATTCGAACCCCACAACCTTACGTTTGTGAGTCCGAAAGCCTAACCACTAGACCACATATAGACAATATGTGTCACAGCTCGATGGAATCGGACGCTCATCCAATCTGGAACATATGGAGTTATTGCTATCATCCACTTAGAAATATGTTTGTCAATAGACAGAGAAGGTGCTGAGCCAAGACAAATGAAGAAGTATTTTGCTTCCACCAACATTCAGCACGTAATCCCATGTGTCGTAATCCCATGTGTCGTAATCTGTCGTAATCCCATGTGTCTAGCTTCCTGCAGATGTGCTGTGGACACTTTCATTGTGTGTGCTAAAAGTTTCCTGAATTCATTTTTCTTTTCTCTGTCTGTGGTTTTTTCTCTCCTCCATCCCCACAACTTAGATCATTTAGGAGGCGGGCTTCCGACCCTGCCTGTCAGGGCCAACCTGGGCTGAGAGGGATACAACATCCCAGCAGAAAGACCGAGGTACTCCATACAAATTCTCCCCATTCAGGAATTGAACTCAAGTCTCCTGTGTGTAATGGCTACCCCACAGACACCCCCCTCCCCCCCTACCACAGACACCGATCGTGTATCTACTATAATAATCGACTATTCCCC